GTATAGTTTAGTTTACCATGGAAGGTATTTCGATTTAAAACTTTTAACCTTAAGTCAAATTAGATTTAAATAATTAATTTCGACCCAGGGCCAAAAGCAATAGCAATCTGGGTGTTCAAAAACAATTATATCTTCACCCTAATTAGAGTATACTAAACTTTACACATTGTATAGGCTACACTAACGTGACGTTTAGGCGGTTCGTTTAACTATTATACCGTGATGTACGTTTTTTTGAGGGGTGGTTAATGAAAGTGTTCCAAAACGCGACATTAATTTATTGACGACCTAATAAAATAAAGTGGGCTTTATTGTCGCAAACACGAGCTTTCGGTGATGTATGTTGCTATGGAAACATATTGATACTTCTCATGCCTGTTAAATTAGTATATAATCTGACTGAAACCAATTGAAACCAAGCCTAAGTGTGTCACTTTGGCTCACATATACATTGTTTATGTTTCTTACAAGATTACTTGACACCACATGAAGGGTTAATTGCACTTTGTAAAAGTATTGTTCTATGCTTCATGCTGCCCTTAGAACTTCTTCCTCCATTCTCGATCATGCTCAGTCTAATGGGCATGATTACACATTATTACTGAACATCCTGGTTTCCGTTGTAACAAGAAAGGAGAGGACAAAATTAGACCACCACACATCTTGACAAATTTTTCACAGACCTTCCACCATACATGGACTACACCTTCAAAGACTACGTTCAAGCAAATAAATTGTACGGATATTCACGGGTTATGCCATGGAAGGGAATAGAATGAACATCGGTTTCATTTTTCAAGTTTCATAGAATGTTTCTGTGGACTTAGACGTGTGACTTGATTATTTGACTAATATAACCGTACCTTCTGTGTTCTAGCCGTACATTGCAGGAAGATCTCCTTGCGTAACTAGTTTTAGTTTAGTTTTCGTTATATGAGAAGCCTGCAGCAACCGTAAAAATCGACGAAATACTTTACTTTCATTCGTTGTTTAATATTCGAAAGTTCTTATCATGATCCTCGTGCTTAGTAGCAGTCGTTCAAGTACCCCAAGCCTCGGCTAATGCTACAGCAAATTTTCATATCTCACGTGCAAGGTATTTTAAGCACAGTTTTCTGAAGTTTTCTTAAACCCTCGTGGCTCATGCTCCCTAGCAAGAGCAAGAATGTTTATATGTTATCTTGTTCACAGTTGGTTGGAATTGTGCATTTTCTTAACAATCACTTTCTGAGTGTCCATGTGTGTGCATGTGAGTTCCTGGACAATCAGTAACAATGACAGCTGCAGTCCTCCTTGTGGTGTAACTACAAAAGATGGATCCCTCCGCATAAAAAGTAATTGGGCCCCCTACATTTACTTCCCTATAATTGTAGTTACGATTCAGACTGACTCGGGTCTCCTTTTAGCTCGGGGGCATACTTACGCCAATGGCGTATTTAGGTGGTTTTAAATTCTCATAGAGATTCGTCCATTTTCCCTAGCCAGCGATTGTTTTTTGTTGTTGTTGTTAGGCGCAAAGCTACATAATCGGGCTATCTGCATACTCACCACAGAGCCACTAGGGCTAAGGCAAAAATTTTCATTATTTCCAGCTGAAGTAATCCGTTTATCTAGTTTGAGACTAGCAATAAACAGTGTGAAATTCCATAAGTTACTAATGATAAGAAAGACTGATGTTTATCTCCTCTTTTTTTACTCAATATTCGTTGCCCCCCAGTGGCACAGTGGTATATCTGCGGACTTACAACGCTAGAAACCGGTTTTCGATACCCGTGGTGGGCAGAGCATAGATAGCCCATTGTGTAGCTTTATGCTTTATTTCAAACAAACAAACTATATATTCGTTAAGTTGAAGAAGTGTTTGTTAGTTTGTTTTTAGAATTTCACGCAAAGCTATACGAGGGCTATCTGCGCTAGCCGTCCCTAATTT